TAACGCTCACTCTGCCTGTATGTGACGAAAAATGCGAAAGCTTGTGAATGCCGCAGTGTTTGCACAATGTTTTTAGTATAACTTGTATCAATGCGTCCTCGGGGTTACCTACCTTGGCATTACCCAAGCGCTACTGTTGACTGAGGTAACGGGCGGCAGTGGCTGAGGCCACAGGCGCTGGACGCCATCCCCGCTCCCCCGGGTCTGGTCAGTCAGGGCCTCTCGTACACGGAGGAATAATGCCCTGATTCAGCGGGTAAGGGCAAGCAAGCCCCGTGGCTACTGTTACAGAGCGCTTGGACGCCGAGTAGTGCAGAGGGCATCGAGTCTGGTGCAGGGGGCTTCAGGAGCAGTTTGGCTCTGCAGCGCTGACTCCAAGCGAGGTTGGACCCAGCTGCAAAATAAATATTTTCCATACCAAAGCTGTTTTGTAGCTGATTGACAGAAAATGGGAACATGGGAGATGTACTAAAGATGGCCTGTCCTGTCTCTTCTGCATCCTGCTCTAAAATCTTGCCTGCTTGACGCTGGAGGAATACAAGTGCCACGTCTCCCAGGGCATCCCCCTCACCTTCGTGGCAGCTAAGTACTCTGCAGTGCAATTATCCACAACACAAACACTGAAATATAAGCAATTAGTTCAATGTCAAAGGAGGATCATGACAAAGCCAAGTTCTCAAACCTGTGTCTCACCAAGTTTAGTGCATGCCCCTCTTCTCAGAGAGGCTATCTGGAAATGCAGAGAAATAGAACCAGCCAGAGGTTATTGTCACGTCATTTTATTGAAGTTACATGAACATGCAACAGTGAGGAGCACTGAGCATCCAGCTTTTTGACTGATGCCAACTTAGAAGCACATATGTAAGACAACTATAAAGCAGAGGTGGCCAAATCCCTGTATCTTAGAGCTGAATAAGATAGCTAAAGGTAATTTAGAAAATGCTTGTGGTCAGGCAGTAAGACTAGCTGATGGTTGTAGGTCCCTTCCAACTGAAATATTCTATTCAGAATAAAAATAATTTTAAAATACCACCAAAAAAATTACATTTAGTTCTTTTCATAACAGTTCTCTGCATTAAAGTTCTACTGTCCCAATAATTAAAACAGTATAATTGCTCATCCCATATCAACAAGTACATCTATACTTAAAATAAAAATGTTCAGTCAATAGGACATGCTGGTATGTCCTATTTTAAAGAAATCATTTATATCTCCTTGGAATTTTATCTGATGCTCACAAAATGAGACAAGATAATTGCTCAGAGGAACTGAATATAAATACTATCATTTGTAATGTAAAATGGAGTTATGAATACTAATACATGAAACAAAGCCTGCTCAGCTGACAGCTTGCAAGACACATCTGGCCTCCAGGACAATTTTCCACTATTGTATAAAAATTACGTATCTCATCTGACAACTGGCCTCAGTGTAAATGGGACTGATGTCATCCACTCCCAATTGCCAAGAAGTTGACAAGTCTTGCATTAGATTTACAACTTGTTTATTCTTACCAATTACAGAGGCCAAGGCATACTTCTGGCTCTATAAATCCATATATAATATCCATGTCTAAGCAGAGGACATCATGAAAGTAAGCAAAGTGAAGTGCTGGATATAAAGCTCCATGACTTACAGAAAAAAATATGCATACACAGCACTTTAAGGGAGCAAGTGTAGCATAGTTAGGTTGTCTCACGCTTACTTTAATTGAACTATAGCAAATTAGTATCAGTGGGGACACATCACAAAATATTAACCATAGACCAATCCAGCGGTCTTGGAGAGTTTATACACTCATTTTTAGCCCTTGCTGAAGCTCTGTCCCATGTTCACCTGTGCTATTTAGTATTATATTCTAACGTAACATTACTGTACAGACATATCTAAAGTCTCACTCGTGTGCGTGGTGAGTGTGATAACTGAACTTGTGCCCACCGATTTTCCTTGCAATTGTTTGTATCTATTATGTGCAGGGTAGGTATGAAGCAAGCACAGATGTCGTTATAATATGTCCCTGGCATACCAACTACTGATATAATATTTTGTGTAATTATATTGCAAAGCTCTACAAAATATCTTGGATTTTTCAGTTCTAAGAAAAAAAGAATAATATAGTTTTGACTCCATCTTCAAATTTATTTAAATATAGTTTCTAAAGCCATTGGATGATTACAAATGCCTAGTGTGCAAAACAAGTGGATTCTTTTAACAAATTTTTAAATTGTTAGCTTGTGTGCTTTATCCTACAAGCCCAATTGACACAAGTAGTCCCAGTAAAGTTTGTGGTATGACAGCAAGAATAACTGATTAATAACATAAGTAAATCTGTCAGGATAAAAACCTTGAATTGGAGGATGTCTTTCATCCTTCTGAGTGTTAAACAACATTATTAATACTTGAAATTACTATTAAACCTTTTATTTGTATTAACAAAGTCTTGCAGGTTTTAAAATCAAACAGGTTTTTTTCCAGCTCTGTGACTTGGGGACAGTATCCTGTTTAATTATATGGATTTCTTCCATTTATGCCTCCATTATCTTTGAGATTTTGTTTCCTTGTTTTTGTTAAAAACTTTTATTTCATAACACACATCCTTTAAGTTGTATACAAAAAACTTCCAACATCAGTGTGCTGATCATACTTTATTTTATTAAAATAAGTTACAAGACCCCAAATTACTTTCCCATTTAATGGACAAATGACATAGGCACATTTTTTCTCTGCCTTGCCATTTCACAGTTTTATATAATGTGATATATTGTATCCATTCATTTTTTTCTGTGTTTATGTTTAAATAAGAGAATAAAAATGCAGTTACTGTACTACTTGTAGTACAGACTGAAGCACAGCAGGTATATGTAGCTTTATGGTTATAAAGTATGGTAGGATCCTCAGAGTCACTGTATTTTCAAGACCGTTGTCTTCCTGAAGTCTTGACATTTGTCAGTAATAACAAACCAACTGCTGTGCAACAAACTAAAGCTTGCTGAACACAATAAAAAGGGTTGCTTCTGAAAGATTATTTTAGCATTAAGTATAGAGATGGCTCAGACAATCTGCTGTCTGCCTTGATATGCCTGTAGCTTCTCAGACACTTCATCTAGTGGTCAGTTGTTAAGGACAATATAATAGATGGCTATAAGGTTTGGTTGATTTATAATCTTTCTATTGCTGCATTTTCAACAAACCTAATTTCTAAATGAAGTTCTAAATGTTCTAAATGACCAAATTGCACACCAAATAATAACTTTGAAAGAAAGCCTCAGTTCTTTGTAATAAAGTATATTCCTGACTTGAAATCACCACATTTTCTTGCGTAACATTAGCTCTGTAGGGCAGAAAGATTGTTCTCTGAAGGATGTGTTACTAATAATCCAAGAAAAATCGGGGTCTTCCCTTCATCTTTCCCAGGCAGATAAACTGACCTCCAGGCACACTGCAAGAAGAGGGATTTGCAATTAGACCTTATAAAAATAACTTTGAATTTGTTCAGGGACTGGGAAAGTCTTCTGTCCTTGGCAGAAGTTTTCATTTGGCTTTCAGAAACTTTGGTGAACTGAAAAACAATCATTTATCTGTATAAATAATTAGTTAACGTATAAAACTTACTAGTCTCCTGCTTTGCCCTTCTTCTTTTATTAATCCTA